TTAAAATATACTGCCTGGCCATGGTATTTTTTAAAAAAAATTTAAGCCCGACCCGTGTATATTTAAAAAATCAACTCCGTGCCGGGTTAAGGGCCGCAGGTCTCTAATAATTATACCATTTTAGGGCCCCTTTTGAATATACACTCCCGTCTTCGGATGCTATGCAAGTCTTTTATAATTATATGCATTAAACCCATAAAATCTTAAAACCTCTGTAAGTTAAAAAATATTGGCCTCTACCAATTCTGTTTTTTTACAATGAGAAAAATATATATTATTAAAAGGTTATTATAATTATGATAATAAATATTTCATCCTCATTATAAAAAACTAAAATCTTTAAAAACTATTAATATATAGTATTTTCTGACAAAAAATTAGATTCATTTTTTATAAAATGACTAAGGTTAAAAAAAAATTAAGAATTCCTAAAGAAAGGATCAATTAAATTTATAATTTTTAAAAGAATTATTAATATACCTTTATTTAAGCAATCCAAAATATTCTCTTTGAAGTCTTAATTAATGATAGAGGTTTTTTTTGTTTTTGAATTTAATTTAAACATGTTTCATAACATAATCAATTATGGTAAGTGATATAGTGTGGGAGAAGAAGAAAAAATAAGCCTTATTAATTATTTATACACTATTATAATTAAATCAGTCGAAGATGGAACCTAAGTAGTAAGTAACACGGAGTAAAAACAGAATAAATTTCACTTCTAAAATTGCTAATATAATAATTTAAAATAAAAAGAACAGAAATCTGCGAGAGTTCTAGAGAGTTTTACAATATATTTGCAAAATCCTATAATCCATTTTAATCATTACTTACAAACTTTATCGTTAATTAAATTTTGATCAAATAATATTTTTTTGTTAAACTGCTTTAAAAAACACATATGGTCAAATACTCTAAAATGTTATTTTAAAATCTTTATGTTTAAAAGGAGAGAGACACCTCTTTTGAGTTTTAAATTATAAAGCTATTCTATGATTATATTTTTTTTATAAATTTAAATTTAATGCAAATTTTTAATTAATCAAAACTACTGCCAAATTTAATATTATGTTTTTTATAAAATATAGAAATATTTGTTGGTTTTAATTTAATCTCAAAATGAAAATATTTGTTGACTTTAATTCGATCGCTCGACAGAAGAAAAACGATGATAATGCTTAGAAACTTAAATTGATCAAACCATAGGAAGAAAAATCAGAAAAATAATTTTATAAAATTAATTTTCAAGTAAAAAAAAGAAGAATATTTGAACTTTTTTTTAGATCTAGGTCTGATCTTTGTCCGATATTTTGATAGAAATCTCAAACTAATATTTTATTCCCTATTTTAATGTTATGTATTAATTTAGCGGTAATGGTTTTACTTTATTTAAATTTATGCTATACAATAATATCAATCATAGACAGGCGCGTACGCAGAAATTTGGTCTGGGTGGGGATAATAAAATTTTTTAAGAAATATTATTGTTTTTTAAAAATATCAAGCATTAATTTATTAGGACTAATAACTATTTCTAATACACAATTTTAAATTAATGTGAATTATAAAAAAATTATATATGAAGAATCACTTAAATAACCCAAAATAGAAATTTGAACTTTTTAAGCCTTTACACAAAAAGTTTCTTAGGAATAATTGCATTTTGTATGTTATATATTTACAATGTAAAATCCAATCAATTTTCAATTATCTCATCCTTGCTTGTCGTCAAATGCCTATGAATATTCAAAAGATCCAAACCTTTCAATCTACTTTCAGATGTTGTACTTCTTGGTATGTTTTTCAGAGACCTGCAAGCCCGGCCCCCGGGCCGGACAGTATTTTAATTTTTTTAAATATACCCGGGCCGGGCCCGAATTTTTTTTAATAAAACACCCAAGCCGGACCTGAATTATTTAAAAAAACACCCAATCCGGGCTGTATTTTTAAAACAGCCTATATTTGAAATCGTTATTATTAGCTATAAAAATCAAAAATAAATATAATTTATTTTAAAAAAATCCGGGCCGGGCCTGAAAATTTTATTTAAAAAAAAGCCGGGCCCGGCCTGAAAATTTTTTAAAAAAAACCGAGTCGGGCCTAAAATTTTGAAAATTTTTTTAAAAAAACCCAGGCCGGGCCGTAAAAAATCTTTAAAAAAAATCCGGGCCGTGCCCTGCAAATGGTACTTCTGCAGGCCTCTGTTATTCTTCTTAAAAAAGAGAATGTTCTCTCATATAAACCCTTTTAATACATTGAGAATTTAATCTAAAATGTGTTTGAAAAATGCAGAGCATCCATAGCATTTTTTGGGACTATATCAACCATAGTTAATCTTATAAACATAGTTATTCAGCTAGTAAGGCATCATAAGATACTTTAACATCTTCATAATAAAAATCTAACAAATATTTTTTTTTCTATCACCATCTGAAAAAGGTTGGGAAGGCTTTTGTGGAAGTAATATTTGCAGATTAGTAAGTGCTGCATGATAAATTAAAAATTCATTTATTTGGGTTATAAATGTATCTGTATTTAAGATATACTCTTCTACTGATCCTATATTAATGTTTTAACGATGAGCTTACCTTGCTACAAGTCGAGGGAGACAAATATTAAACACGTATAGCTCTGCTTTTGACTCAACAATAAAATATGAAATTCTTCATCAACATTAGCCCTAATTTCCTTGAGTTCTGATAAAATTCTCTCCGCTATTCTCATCTTCTTAATTAAGTCAATGTCATGTTTTTGAAAAGTAATACTTAAAATAGTTGTATAATTAAATAATACATTCCAATGAGAAATAAAATTTGGAATAAGCATTGAATCCAATAATTTTCTTGCTTCTGAGGAAATATTTCTTTCAGGCCATTGTGATATTTCAGTAATAGCAAATAATTGACTCTTCTAACTCCTTAAAAGCTGTTACTGCTTGATGGCAGAGACTCTATCTCGTTGGACAAGGTTGCAATTTCTTTTTCCCTGTTGGACAAGAAGTTTCAGAAATAATTATTATTTGACTAGAAATTTGAAAATGGTAGATAAATATTACGCCACTATAAATTTGAAAATAATAATTAAATATTACGCCGGAAAACTTGAAATCGAAATTAATTGATAAAATAACTTAGTAGATAAATGTGATAATAAATGTAATTAAATATATATTTAATATGAGATATGAATAAATAAAATATTAACAAATATAAATTAATATAAACAATAATATTTTTGAAAAATATATCCGGCATCTGCATTTTTTGGTTTGGGGAAGGGGGGTGGCACCCCCCCTCCCGCCATACGCCAATGATCATAGATAACTATGATTGATATATGTATAATCTTAAATAATCAATTTTAATACTCTTTATTTTAAGAATAATTAAATAATATTTCCAACATCTTTTTATAATTATTTCGAACCACGGATCGGACCTATATTTTATTAACAATATTTCCAATTCTGTCCGGGGACGGGCCTGTCTTGCGGGACTCTAAATCAACTTAAAATATGAATTATAAATATTTTTATATACAATATATTTATAGTAAAATAAAATAATTTGTAGATTGATTATAAGTAGTATTCTTAGTATAACTTTTTTAAAAAATTTTAATTCTCTGTTAAATGCATGAAACAAAATTTTCTCCTTGCGCGGAGTTCCATTCTGGTAATTTTCAAGAAATTATAGATTGTTCCGGTTTAGATATTCATATCGGTTCTTTTCGTTTCACTTTTTTTTATTAGTTTTGGATTTAAAAAAATTTATCATGATATGTATATTAATTTAATAAACCCCTTAAATCTAATATTTTATAAGCCAAACATAATTTAAAGCAAATAAGTTGAATTTCTTTTCTTTTAATATATATAAACATGAATAAGAAATAACAAATTTGTACTATTTTTTTTATTGAATTTAGAACGAATAATGAAATATATTGTATTTATATAAATATATAAATATTTCAAATTATGTTATGTTCAATTAAAAATAAATACAATACTTAAAACCGTCACGAACAGGTTCAACCCCGTTCCAAAGTTTTTAGAAATTTAGCTTTCTCCTGTTGAGCTTTTTTAAAAATAAAGTTTCGGATATGATTACGGTTCAAAAAATTATAATGGTTTTTTTCTGTTTCGCGGTTGGGTTTGGTTCAACACCTGTATGAATATTCTCCCCATAATTTTTCTAAATAAAAATGAATTTTAAGGAATAAAATTATTTTATGTTCCTTTTTGTTTTTAGAACATTCATTTTTTTAAAATAATTTTATTTAGTTTTGAATGGATATTAAAAAAAATAATTAAATAATGATTATCGCAAAAAAAATATTTTCTATAAATTATTGAATATATAATTTTAAAAAAACATTTTAAATTTGCGGAAATATATTTAAGAAAATTTATTATTTGAAAATTTTTTATTCAATTTCCCCCCAAAATACATTTTAATTAAATATTTAAGCAAAATACAATCCATTTCTAAATAATATTAATATTTTAGGAAATTATAAAAAAATAATTATTTTTAATAAACCTCTAGTTCTACTAATATATATTTTATTGATCATTATTTATATTTAAGTCTTTTCAATAAAGAAAAAAGATTACAATCTTAAATATATATTGATATTTTGAAAGGAAAAAATAATATTATAACAAGTTAATAAAACTAAATGCATGAAAGATATTCAATTTCGGGATAAAAAAAATGGCCCGTTAATAAAATAATAAATAAGGATTTAACATAAATGAATTATGTTCACCATATTGATTTAAATATGTGGTTCTTCTTTATTTCCCTTTATATTTAAAGTTAAAACACCATTAAGATATAAATTTTCTTCTATCTTAATTAATTTTAATTTTTTTTTTCTTAGATGTGTAGATATAACCTTTTCACGGAATTCGATGATTTCAGAATTATTTCTCTATAAGAGTGCAAGGAATTATATCTTAAATTTTTTTAGATGCATTTCTGCGCTCATTTAAGACATTCTTAGAATTATGGAAACATTCGAATTATTCAGATCAATTACCTTAGGCTCGGTCATATGTTTGATGAACTTGTGGATGTTTGTAGGAAATTCTTTAGTGATTTTAGTTATCTTGATTTATCCGAAACTACGCACTACGCGGAATTATATGATTCTTTCCTTAGCTTTTGCCGATTTGTTAATAAGTTTGACCGTAGTTCCCTTTTCAAGCTTGAATTTAATTCTACGCAAATGGCTTTTTTCACAGGCTTATTGTAAGGTAAATTACATTTTAAAAAAATAATTTGTATTTTATAATATATTATACTATAACTAAATCGGTAAATATAATATAACCTAACTACATATATATATTTAAATTCATATTACAAAGGTCTACGTTTCATTAGACTTTTTGCTAAGCACGGCGAGTATATTAAATCTTTGTTTGATAGCCATAGAACAATATATAGAAGTCACCAAACCTTGGGTAAAACTTTCTTTTTCAAAAAATGTCAGAATAGTGACATATTTATCAATATTACTTGTTTGGATTGTTTCAATAACAATATCATGGGGAGTGGTACAAATTGTTGATACACTCTTAACAAAGAATACTCAAACCGACAACGTTAATTCTATCGTAAAAAGACATATAATCGTGCCTAATATAAATTCTTTGAATTATACCAATTACATTTTAAACGATTTAGTTCCAATCAATTATACAAAAAATGAATCTTATGACGACACTCTGGAAATTGTATACAATACCGTTAGGAGCAATCATCATTTTATTCCAATTCTTAAGCATATTAATCACAATGTTAGTCTAAAGGAATGCCATTTTGATAAATATCACACTTTAAAAAACGGGTCTATATCCAAAATGATAAGTAAATATTTTTACTTAAAAAATGTGTCTCAATTTCATTCTAATAAACTCCCTTTAAGAGTTAAACGGTGTAAATATTTTCTAAACTATGTAAATTATATTCAATCACATTTGAATTTTGGGCAACATAAACTTGTTTACACAGATACCACTACCGAAATTCCTCAAAAATTTCAACCATCGTTAATATATCATTGGAACAAGAATAAAAGTAGTTCAGCAAATAATAATCTAGCTATTGAACAATGTTCATATTTATCGCATATATCACCTTCTTTCGCACTATGGACCACTGTATTAACATTCGTAGTTCCAATGTCTGTCATCTTTTTTGCTTACTATCATATTTTTGCAATCGTACGGCAAAGAGCTATAAAAGCTCGCCTCAATTTAAGTCGGTATAACAAAGCGATGACATTTGGATTATCGAAAGTACGATTCTTTAATTCACTTTTTTTTTGAATAATGTTTTGTTTTTTTTTCCTACAGGTGCACAAAAATGAACACGCGATAAAAGAATCAGAGATGGACTCTGATTCCTCTAACGTTTTCAGCACTTTGAGTAATCATAAGCCAAGCCATGAAAACACACTATCTGTGATAAATAAATTGACTAATCTGTCAGAAAATAAAAGTAATGGTTTTAATGAAACAACTATCCCCAAGATGATCAATGGCGATATCTCTAAGCCATCACATAAAAATTTCCCAATTTCATCTAATGCGAATAATATCTCGAATCAATTTCCAACTAGCTCGTCTACAAATAAAAGCCTTGAATTAACTAAGCCATTAGTAGTAAACGCTATATCTTCTAAAGCCAATAAAAAGGAGTTAATCAATTTGAAAAAAAAATCAATTAGCCTAAAAAAAAATAGTAACAAAGAGCGGAAGGCCATAAAAATGCTGGGTATTATTATTGGAAGTTTTACAATTTGTTGGGTTCCTTATTTTACTATGTACGTTATGGACCCATATTGCAACCATTGTATGCCTATATCACTATTCACATTTGCTACATGGCTAGGCTATTTTAACTCTTGTTTGAATCCTGCCATTTATGCCACTTATAATATTCAGTTTAGAAAAGCTTTTAAAGACATACTATGTTTCAGGGTATTAATTTAAAATATATATTTTATCTTCAATATACTTTAATTTTTATTAATCTTTTTAATGGTGATTATTATAATATTTGATATTCTAACATCTTTTGATATTTATTTTATACTTGTATCCTTAATCAGTTATTTATATTTTCTTAAGAAATTCAAGTGAAATGAACAATTACGAGATGAGACAATGATGGTAATATAAATTTTATAATTTAATAATTATAAAAGCACCTTTACAATTGAAAATAATAATATTTGAATCGATAAATTTACAAAATGCAAGCCGTTGTTTAAAATTATACACATACAGCATCATATCTAATTATATTAATATAGATAGTATATTATAAGTGTTACATTTGATTCATATCATTAATTAAAATACGGAACATGTAGGGGAAGATGGTAGTCATAAAATTTGGAGCGCCGGCTAGCTCGGGGTTAGGATTAAGAGGAATTTTTGACCATTGTAGAGGAATCACTAAAAATAGGAGTAACTAAAAATAAGATGCGACACATGTCAATATAAAATCTATCCTTTATTTTAGAGTGGTCCGGAGATATATGAGCCTTAAGGACTGTTGATGCAGAAAATCTAAAATAAAAATTCACACTATGTTATAAAACATATCAAAAAGAATCTTTCATTTATTTTCCAATATAAGCCAAAGTACCACATTACTGCAATAGTAAAAATGTTAAATTTAATCAAACGTTCAAATTAATACAGAAGAATAATTATCATTTAAATAATTAAAGTTGACATAAAATAAGTGGAAATTTAAAATGGTTATCCACAAACAATCTAATCCTTTTATCTTTATCGATTATGTGTGCTAATATTCTTAGCCAATTATACATCGAAAATCGGCGATCGTTATGTGTTCTTTTTTTAAACTAATCCGGTGTCTTCGAATTGGTGTAACCCACTTAGCTACACATTTTTATATAAATATTTTAATTAAAATACCGCGTTTTTTACCATTTATTTCACGGTTTACTCATTATTTAGTTTCCTTTTTCTTTGAATATTTATGCAGTTTTACAATAGAGCGAATATAAATTAGGTATAAAATTTTTCAAAATATTATATGTATTAAGTTCGTGAAATTTCCCCCCCCCCCACACTTTGAATTTTTAATGGTTTATCTATTGAACCGAATTGTGCCGTTTTCAGTTCAATTTGTATCGTTTTCAGTTCAATTTGTACCACCTTTTTGAGATATTTGAAGAACAAAACATGGGACCAACTTCAGTGCAGCCCCCCATTTTGAATTTAAACGTATATTGCAATTTTGGCATCTTTAAATTTTTAAAACAGAATCGATTTGTATCATAACGTTTCAAACTCGATTTGTACCATCATCGTTTTCATTTCCAAAAGATTTTTTATTTTTACCGGGCAAAAAGAACTTCAACAGAAACATAACAATTCAGGATATAAATATTAATTGTTGGCCTTAACCTGGACGTTTTGGATGACGCTATACTCGAAAGCCTAGATTAAATAAAATAATAAAGCCCTCATGATTACCCTTAGCTTTCAATAACTAAACTTCAAAATTAGAAATTTAATTAAGAGCAAAATATTCTTCCCCCATCCTATACCTATTTATGACCAAAGACAAAATCTGTGCCCTTGGGCTACCAATAGATGACTCAATTATTATCCAAACATTCCTAGAAAAAAACCTCAATAAAAACAAAGCAAAATATTCTTAAATCAAACATTCCTAAAATTTTTTAATGCTTCATATCATCATTCCATAAATTCTCCAAGATTACTAAATTAAAATCATATTCATATTGAGGGGTATTTTTATTCTAAATTTTGTCAAAAATAATTGATCTACGCTCTCCTTTATCCATATCAATCGTATTATTCACATCATCTTCTATCGGTATCCGAGAACTCATTTATATTATAATCAAACCAACTGAGAATTCGTTACTCAATCTTGATTTATTTAGTTGGTTTGCAAATGTAGTAGAGGAAACAAATTATCCAATGCCCAGTTCGCATAGGGATTGAGATGTAGCTATACTTTCACGTTCCGTTGACTATTTACACTCGAGTAACAATACAAAGTAGCTTAAAAACCTCCCTTTATTGGTTATATTATAGATAAGACTGGTTATGAATGGCTAGAGGCCTATCTAAGCAAAACAATAAGATTTGTTCAGACAGATGCCGAATTTAGATATGCAAAGGCAATCAGGCTAGGAACGGAAATATTTAGATCCTATGAATGTCAAAGATGTGGAGCACAAGTTAACCAAAGGCAAGACATCTTCTCCATGGTCTTTTTAATATATAAATATTAAGAAAATTATTCTGGCTACTGAGCTAGTATTCCAACACGGAACAGCATAATTTTTCAATCATTAATAACATTCAAAGGGATATATATATAATGAATGCTTGGGATCAAGACAAACTTAAGTATTGGGACTTTACTTATAGATACATTTTCATTACCCTCTATAAAATTCAATCCACTTTGCATTGCTAAGAAAAAAAAGCCTAAGATATTACTATATATCCGTCGATATAATATTCATCCCATTAGTTGTATCAACATCCTGTTCTTTTGGAAATGAGACAAAATTATAAATCAAAAGAGCCCTAAATCTACAATCTTAAGAGCACTTAAGTAAATCATCTCCAATTGGGGGGGGGGGGATATAGACATCCAGAGTGGGGTAGGGTTAGTCTAAAGTATTATTATACATTATTTATAGATTTAAACAAAAATGACCTACAAAAGGATTCTAATTTATTAATGGATATTTATTTTGATTTTAAGATTAAATCTTAAATCATTCACTCACTTTAGTATTATAAACGCTCGTGGCTAAATTTTTAGAATACGATAGTAACAAATAGTTGATTATCCCATAATATTTTTTTATTATTGCTAGCATGAATAATGATGCTTGAAAAAGTTATAGTTAGGATTTTGTTCGGAGGTCACATGGTGGTTCATTACGATTTTTTTTAACATTTTATAAACGCTCAGACTGTCTCCTAGGTCGGCTCAATTTGGATACTTAATTGCTTTTTAGAATAGGCTAAAAAGTATTTGATCAAGGACACCCTCTTTTTGTTTATATTAAGTATTTGGTGGCATAGCTATTTTTCGCATTTCATTCTCGTTTTTTCCCCATTTTTTTTTTGTTTACCTGAAAAAGTTTTAATTAGAATTTTGTTGGAAGGTCACAAATGGTGGCTCATTACAAATTTTTTTTATTAACATTATAGAGTTAATAACGTTCAACATATCAACATATAGCATTGGCAAATAGATGGCGAAAAATATCATAAGAACTCAATCGCCTTATTCCTCGATATACCATGCTGTAGATTTTTATTAATTACATCCGAACATATTGTAAAGAATGGCTCCAGATGAGTTTTAAAATAGTAGCGAAATTGTTTGATTTTTGAGAGAGAAAACATTTTAAAAGCGAATATTTGATACCAAATTGGAAAGAGGAAATGAGCATTAATTTATTTATTAATAATACTTCCAGTAATTAAAAGTTAAAAAAAAAATAATTTATACTTTTAATTGCCTTATATCTCTCTACAATTTGCAGAATAGAAGTCATTAGAACGATAACGAGTCAAAAATAAATTCACCTGTTGAGTTTACATTGTAATTCAAAAATTATTACAATATTTTTTTAAAAAGTCAAATAGATTGCATTTAAAAAAAATAAATTTATCATATTTTAGCTATAATTTTATTTTATTATAAAAATAACAATGAATAACGGTTTAAATGATTTATTTTAAAGTTCCTTTTAAATAACTAGTCTTTTATTCTAATAATCGAATGACTTGGTATGGATTGCTGAATCGAAAATTATACTAACATGCCATTGAGAAATTAACTTTAGAAGAATTAATATACTCTAGTCTGCCAAAATTCTTAAAGAATTTTACCTTAAGTCAATACTAATGAAAATACAGTTTTAAGCAACATATAATACAATATTAAATAACTTCATACCAAAATTGAGTTCTTTTTGAAATGATTGTTCAAAAATCATTTATAAACCAAATGAGGACTTTCTTTTACTTAAGTAAAGTAATTAACAATCCCTTTTTTAATTTAATTGACTTCAAATTGCTATTCTTCTATAATTTATCATATACAATATTTATTTATTATTAGGTACATATCTGATGTTACAATTTCTTCCAACAACCGATCTATGAAACTTAATTACAAAATGAAATGAATTATTTACAATATTTATAACTTTTTCATCTTTGTAAATATGATTAAATTCTAAAAAATTATTTTACTTTATAATTTTTTATCATAAATGTTGCCGTTTCACATACTCTATGATTATTATATGTTTTGTCATTCCATTGATTATTATAAATATAGGTTCGATTTGTAAAACTTTGAAAATAATCACTTTTCTATTATAGTAATAATTTGTTTGGATAAACAGAATAATTTAAGAAATTTGATTTTTCAAGTTACTATAAATATTTTTTGAAGATTTTTGAGTTTTGAGCAAATATTAAACCCTGTTTAGAAAAATATACATTAAAGTAGAATATTATAAATTTCTTAAAATTTAAAACATAGGTAAAATATTACAAAAAAAATGTGTTGGGGTGGGATTATATAATCAGTAAAAACGGCTCAAAAGGTTTGAATTTTTTTAAAACAAGTTTAACACTTATTTCAACCATATATATTAAATCTTTTTTTTTATAATGGAGTCCCAAAAAGGATTCATAATTATTTTTAAAATATCTATTTGAATATGTCGAAGATATAAAAATTCCTAGGGATCATTTGTAAAACTTATTTGTTTTCCAAAATTTGAAAATAATAGGTTTAAAAAAATGTTTTAGTTAAAATTATGGGAGTTAATAGATAATTGGTATTTTAACAGCATAACCCGTGTCTACTTCCTTTAGAATCTAAGGTAATCACGGTTGTATAATGTCGCACTCTAGACGACAACTAATGACAAATTTAATTTGTTAATTTGATAAAAGATTGATATTTAACTAGAATTTTTCAAACTATTCATGTCCTTCGATTGTTTCACCGTTCTGTAAAATTCCAAAAGTGTGTTTTAAAAGATTGAAGTATTAAAATAAATAATTTTTATCGATACAATTTGTATTAAAATGCAACAAAGGATAGGAATAGCTTATCAATCTACCCTATTTCTAATTTAGGAACTTAAACCCTTTCCAATGAAATGATGTGCCATACATAGACTTTTATATATAGTACATAACAACACTGTTTATTAATATATTAAAATACGATTCGAGTGTGGACCATTATAGTCAATAAACATGGAAATATATAAGTTGGATTTATTATTTTTACTTTAATTATTAATATATTTATTTGATTGAAGTTATTAATTGTGGGTTGAATTTAGAGAAATCATGCATATATTGATTTTTTATTCAACAATTATCCAATCATCATATCAAAATATAGGATAACATTCTAATTTGAATAAAAACAGATATATTGTCATGAAATTTATAAAGAAAGATATTGAAATTATTCAGCAATTATAAATTGTAGGTTTTGTTAGAATTATTAATGATGTTATTTGATATATGGTGATTGATTATTGTTAAATAATAAATCAATATATGCACGATTCTTCAAATTTAATTCATAAAATGATATTTTAATTTGAAAAATATATTACTAACCAAGGTGAATCAAATTTACGTGTTAATTATAATCATCCACATTAGAGATGGCCACCGCTGATTTCAATTTGGCCCCACTTCAAATAACCAACACTTAAAAACAACTTTTATAATATAATCTATAAAATCGAATTTTTAACGATTATTTTTTTTATTTATGATTTTACAAACAACTAATATCGAACAAGTTTGAACAAAAGTAGCTATCGAGCTTTAAAGAACACTTTTGGTGTGTTCTAGAATGCCTCTTATGGCATAAAGCAATTGAGTAATTATATCGTTGAATTGCTTATTTTTGACAAAAATTTTAGCAAAGCGGATTATCATTTTAATTTTTACTACATTCCCAATTAATGTTATTTTTATAGCTGGTAAAAGAATAAATCATGCCAATATTAATATAGTCTTTAGAAGCAACTCTCTTATCATTTTTCCTAAAATATTTTTAAATGGAATTAATTTCCATTTTATTTTTACTACACTACAAATTGTTTCCGAAAATAAATAATAAAAAAAATTAAGCCAATTATTAATATAATTTTTATCCACAAAAAAATAAACATTGGGAAACCAAATATAAAACTATTTTTTTAAAAAAAATAATAAAAAAGAAACAATAATTAGTTTTTAATGAAATGTTTTGTTTGATAATTTAAAAATATCCTATATCTGTTAAAATTTTTATATGAATAAATTGATTATTGAAGAAAAGCTCCCAACGCTAACTTTAGAAAATTTGTAAAATAATCAAAACCTTTAATTAAATTTGGCCATAACTAGAGGTCTGCAATGTGTTGGATTTTATCCAGGGGATAAAGTGGGCGGGCGGGTAGGCGGAAATATTTTAAACATTGGGCGGGTAAGTGGGCGATAGGTAAATTTTAAAGATGGTAAAATGAATAGAACAGACTAGTTATTAATAATTATTTTTTTTATTTCATTATATTACATATTATATAATTTTAAGTAAAAATATATATTAAAAAAAATGAATAAAGAGCTAAAGCAACCATTAAATATTTTTTTTAAATAAATGAAAGAGGAGGGGAGGGGTGGATTTAAAAAAAATAAAGGACGGGTGGTGGAGTTGTTAAAAAACCGATTCGGGTCGATTTTAAAGAATGGTTCAATTAAGATGAAACCAAAAGAATATTATGTAAGCCTGGAGATTTTTCTCATAGATGGCAGAAAAGTTTAGACTATTCGCCAAATGACGAACATAAATCTTAATCGGCCCGTTTTAAAAATTGTTCCAAATCGTGCTTTTTGACAAAACTAGCTGGCGGGTAAAACCCTTCCATGCCGACTTCTAACTCCAACAACTTCAAATGCAAGGTATAGATTTTTATCTATAGAAAATAAAAACTCATAGAAATAGAATGAGTCATTGTGTCTGAAAACAAAATATTTTAAAAGAATTAAATATAACAATAACTTTTATAATTAGAAGCCATTTAACTAAAAAAAACAAAGATATATTCTTCTAATTCATGCAATAATACATTGTAAGGTGTTACAGACATTTGAAAAAACTGATTGCTTCTCTAGTAATAAAGATTTGATATTATTAAACTATACTATATTATATTATATTTGTATTGTTCAAATATGTGATCTTTGCATTTTTTTATATTAGTTAAGTCATTATTATGCATTATTCAATATTATTCTGATTTAAAAATAAAGCATAAATAAATTATAATTTGACTAATCAGACCAATGACATCAGACACATAAATATTTTATTTTCCTATTTCAAAATGACAGATAGGTGTCAGAAAACGTTACATAAACTTAAATTCTTATAGATAGTAAATTTATTATTTTTGATATGATATGAATACAAGTTTAGCAGATAAGTTAAATAGTCAAGATAAATTAATTAAAAATTACGAATTGAAAATTAAAAGTAAGTTATGAAATTTAATTTCACAATATATATGATATTTTATAGATTTGATTGAAGCTTATAAAAAATTGAATGAGGAAAAGGATATGCTAAATAAATCAATTGAAATATTTAATCCAGATACATTAATGTTATATATTAATGGAGGCATTAAAGATTCTAATATAAATAAAGAAAATATTAAAATAAAGATCTTAGATTTATATAAGGTTGTATCAACATTATCCACTGATAAATCAAAATTAGAGTTATCATTAATTGAAAATAAGAAGAAATTTTTGGTAAAATATTAAATAAAAAATTATATTATCTATTAAAAATTAGTTGAAAAACTTGCCCAATTATGAAAATGAAATCTGTGATATGAAAAATAAATTACAAAATATTTTAAAGCAAAATAATGTTTTAAATCAAAAACTATTTTCAGCAGAGGCAATGATAATTGAAAAAATATTTGAGCATGATAATTTTATGTCACTTATTAACAAAGATTTTGAAGAAAGAAATATATCTCTTAAACAAGATTTATTGGTTTTCTTTTTTATAAATATATTTATTTTATCATAAATGCATTAATTTGTACATCATTTTATACCTGGGATCTTCCGTGCCAAATCTATCAAAAAAACCTGATTTTCTTGGGATTTTAGTGAAAATTTATATATATATTAAGGTAAACTTTACTAAGATAATGTTCATATTTTAATATTCTATCTTATTTTTTTTGAGATATCAAAGGTCAAAATGAAAAATGCTATTTTTATGCTTATTGATATTTTTATTCAATTAAACCTTTACTAAAATCTAACTAATATTGAATAATATTTTTATTATCAATGTATACATTCTATTTAAAAATATTATTAGATGAGCCTAATTACGATAAACTTCAAACTAAACTCATTTATTATTGCAATAAAAGTGAACTTGACATAGATTCAAAAGAAAAATTATCCATTGATAAAATGATAGTCCCTTTCAAAGGGCAATGTGAATTTAAACAATATATTCACTCAAAATTACATAAATGGGGAATTAAAATTTTTGCTTTATGTGGATCATCTAGAATGCTATATGATTTCGAGATATATTTAGGAAAATTCACAAATATAAAAAACTTTGATGGGAATTAGTGGGAATATCGTTTTTCGACTATTTGAAAATGTTTTGCCACATAAATATTATAAAATTTATATGGATAACTTTTTTTCTTTATATAATTTAGCAGTTGCTTTCAAATATAATGACTTTATGTCAGGGTAATTCCATACCGAATCGATAACTTTTTGGCCCAATCTTTTTAATTTCTATAAAATTTTGTATACTGAGAGAATATCATTTGAAAGCCTCGAATCCAAAATTTTAGCCTCCTAGTACTCATAGTTCCAGAGATATCAATGGTCAAAAGTGCCAAAAATGACCTTTTTTCGAAAAATACGATTTTTTGAAACTGAGATAAATTAAAAAATAATGATTTTAAAAATATAAGTTATATGTCATTTTGTAACTCTATTAATTCCCTTTTATTAAATATTAAGGATTTTTTTGAAATAACATTGTTGCGGTTTTTATTTCTGTTATAAATTTTAAACATAAAAATTCGAGGTGTTTCGCTTTCCAAATTTTTTTAAATTTAATATTTTCTTATTCTCTAACCTTATATCTATTCATAAAAAAATTTAAACTTGGGACTGCCATTTTTAGTTATTACGATTTAAAAAATCAAAAAATAAATATTTTTTTCAAAAATAGATGGCGCTCCTTTATAAAATAACGTGTTTTGTTATAATTATTATTTTTAAAACTTTTTTTCACTTTTAAACATAAATAATAAGATTTTCCAGAATTAATATCATGAAATGAGATTATTTAGCTGCGGTTATAATCATTTTTTTTTATAAAAAATTTCGAAAAATTATTTTATAAATTTTAAAGATATAATAGATAAATTAAAATTCATGAAAGATATTACCTATTTTTGGTTTTTCATTAAATTTATTTTTTTTTACGCCATAAAAATTTCGTTTTGCGAAATTATATGTACGCCCAGTAGCCGTTGATGGGCTAACTATTGTTAAAATATTATTTTTTGGTATGAAAAGGATATTTTGTGCAGCTGGATAAACAAAAGAATTTGCTGGTCCTTTAGGGTGAAGAAATTTAATTTTCACTTCATCTCTAATTACATTCACTTCTTGTACAAATCCTAACCACCAATCGTTTTCATATACAAATGTTACATATCCTCTAATCTCATCGATTATCAGATCCTCAATCAAATATCTTCACGTGGTTATATTGGCATTCGTTGCAGTCACCAAAATAACAGGTGGGTAACGGGGGATTGCAAATCATTCTGCCTATAACATCTCTATAAGTTGTTAATGTATCCTCAACATTTTTAGTCAATGTTGCTAATTCACAGCTTAAAATCATGAGTTTAATATTCTGATGTATGATAAACGCATACACTATGTGTTCCGCTAGCCCCTGCTAAAATACAATTTTTTGGTCTTAAGCTAGAAAATTTCGAAAATCCAATTGTTAAGTTTGAATTACTCGCCTTAAAATGATTATATAATTCTTTCAAATTATTAATAACTAACCTTTTTTGACGTTTACTCGTTCCCCCTTTTCATTGATAGATATGCAATCTTTTTTTCCTGGTAATACCTACTAACTTTATCAATGCAAAAAAAATTTTTAAACAATATCAACTGTTTTTTGATTGAGATATTTTGCAGGCTTTCAATTTGGAGTTGAAAGATTCCCCTTTTCTTCTAAAATGATTTTGGAATTATATGCCATATGATATGTAGCGTCGAATGTCGTTTTTATTTTATTTGCGCTCCAATTAGGAGGCAGAATGGTCAGCAATTGATATTTTTTATTTTTAGATAAATTAGGATATATTGTAATTTCATGTTATTGAGTTTATCATTATTATCTTTCGTATCCGAATCTGGATTGTTAATTATTATATCTGTAATCGCTTTTGTTATTTTTGCTGCCTTTTTTTGGATAATTTTTTTCGGTTAGTTTTTTTTCTTAATATGAGATATTCCTATTTCATTTAAAGTTATATTGATTTTATCTATTGATGTTGATGCTGTTATTTACATATTCACTATCAGAATTTATATTTTCGATATTTTTTTGTGATAACCTTTTACGGCAGTTATCACAAATATAATGTTCCGTCTCAATGTTTGGATATTGTGTCATCCACGTCATGACTTTGCGCAGGTTCTTTTTATAATTAAAGTGTTTAGATTCTTTAAAAGGATTCACGCATTTATACATTATAAATAATTTTAGCTTTTATCTTTCAACAATTAATTATTATATTTCCTTGTATGCGATATCGGAATTTTAACTATCTTTTTAGGTAATTTAATCATTTATTATAAAAACTAATTTTTTCAAGTTATCAATATAGCAATAATAATAAGTAGTGATCTGCATCGAGCCTAATTTTTCAAGCCCGGCCGAATTTATTTAAATATAGGAATAAATTTTTATAATTACTCAAAATAAAAGACATATGTTATATGTCGTTTAGTTTCAATAAATAAAATCAAATATTTTTATTTTACATAAAAAATTCAATATAAAATTGATAAATTTTTATATATTTAAAAAAGTTTCCAAGGTCCGACCCGACCCGGCCCGAATTTTTTTTCAAAATATTAGCCCGGCCCGAACCCGATTATTTTGAATAGAATTAGGCCCAAAGCCCGCCCGGGCCGGGCCTAACTTTGCAAATCTCTAATAATAAGTAAGCCTATTAAACGATCTATATAATATTTTTTGTAATGCTGGAAAATCTTATTATTTATGTTTAAAAGTGAAAAAAAGTATAAAAAAAATAATATTTATAACAAAATACGTTATTTTATAAAGGAGCGCCATCTATTTTTGAAAAAAATATTTATTTTTTGATTTTTTAAATCGTAATAACTAAAAAACCCATGGCTGCCCCAAGTTTAAATTTTTTTATGAATAGATATAAGGTTAGAAAATTAGAAAATATTAAATTCAAAAAAATTTGGAAAGCGAAACTCCTGGAATTTTTATGTTTAAAATTTATAACGTAAATAAAAACCGCAACAATATTATTACAAAAAAATCTTTAATATTTAATAAAAGGCCTTTAATAGAGTTACCAAATGACATTGACTTATATTTTTAAAATCATTATTTTTTAACTTATCTCAATTTTAAAAAATCGTATTTTTTGAAAAAGGTTATTTTTGGCACTTTTGACCATTGATATCTCTGGAACTATGAGTACTAGGAAGCTAAAATTATGGATTCGATGATTTCAAATGATGTTCTCTCAGCATACAAAATTTTTATCGAAATTAAAAAGGTCTGGCCGAAATGTTATCGATTTGGTATGGAATTACCCGTCAGGGACCCTTAGATCTAATCGATTATTAGCATGCCATCTGATTGATGACAAAATCCTAAAGAAAAAAGGAAGAGTGTCTTTTGATTATAAGGTGGATTTTTATAAATTATAATTTGCATATAGTTTGATAAATCAGTTATCACCATATCATCATTTATGGGTATAAATCCCATATCACAAACAAGAAGATGATCTGTACCTGATAAATCTTTTCTCAATGTCGGAATTCCGGCTATAAGACTATATTGGTGGTATGGAGGGAGGTGGATCTCCAGGATATGTTGAATGAACTCTACAGAACTGACATAAAATGGAAGTGATTTTTATATGCGAGTTTTCTTTCATTTATTAGATTCCTGTGTAGTGAATTTATGGTTGCTCTATAGACGCCACATGAAACAGAAAAATAGTAAACCAGTATCTCTTTTAGTTTTTAAGGTCAGATAGCTAAAGGATTGATGATGGTTTGAGGAAAATGATAAAAAAGAAGGTTGACCTACTTTGAAGATTAAAAAAGAAGGAAATTGAATAGTTTTCATCCAATCACAGATATTAGATTTGATAAAACAGCGCATTAGCCATCGGCTGTTAGCAGACTAAATGCAAGAACTGCACCAATGGTTATTCCAGACTCGAATATATAAAATGTAAAATATCTCTGTTTAAATAAAAATCACAATTGTTTTATTTCTTATCATTCAAAATAAATTGTATATTTTTTACATATGAATATCACAATGATGACAAATGCCAACATTTCATAATTCTATATATATATACACTTTTTTAAATAAAAACCGTTAAAAATTGTTTAACTCTGTTTTAGAAAAAAAAATTTTGTTAATGAGAAATATGTAGTGTGTGTAAAGATTAAGGCTCTTATATCTCTAAGCTATAGCTATGGCTTGTTAAAATTTGATTTGACAACAAATCAGGCATGGTCCATTAAAATTTTACCAAAAGTCCAATCCATTATTTTCTGCCCATTACATTTTTAATGCTTACTTCTTATTTTTTCCCAATGTCAATTAAGGCTCTTATATCTCTACTCTATAGCTGGTTCTATAACAATCTTTTGTACCAAAAAATCAAAATATTAATGCCCAGGTTGGCCCAT